CAACCCACCCAAGGTGATACAAGCTGATTCGAGAGATAAATGTTTGTTTCTTTTTATTTTCTTTTTTCTGATTTTTATTTCCTACATACGGTATCTTTCTCTCTCTCTCTCTCTCTCTCTCTCTTTCTGTCTCTAAGCTCTCGCACATTCATACTTGTTTCCTCTCCTGTTTTTCTTCTTTATTAATTTTCAAAGACCTTTAAAGATATTACACATGTATACGTGCATTTAATTTCTATCACTTTTTCTCTCGTAAAAATTTGTCAACCTGATTAATTGATCTGACAAGTATTCGAACATAAGAATCCGTGGAAAAAAGTTTGTCGCATAAATTAAAACACGGTTAGAAATTAATCTTTCAATTTGTTCGATATTTTAAATAATACATATACAACGTTTGTATTCTTCGTTGAGATCGATTAATCATTTCAATGTAGAGTTTCTTAAGCAAATAAATCTTTTAATATAGTATGATCGTAATGGTATTTTTTTTTTTCTAATGAATTCTATTAGAACTTTTGACTAGATAATTAAAAGTAATTAATATCATTTGTATTAGAATATTAGATTCTATTATCATAATTTAATCAATATTACTGTTGTCATAATCAATGACAAATTATTCAATTAGATTATTACTAATTAACATTAATAATTATTACTTTTGTTTTTAATTTCATTATTAATTAACGTTAATTAAAAATAAAGTGATATAAAATGCACGTACACACACAAACATACATATATATATTAGAATTAAAAATTCCTTTATTATTGCTACCAAATAATAATTAATTTTAATATAAAATTCAAATAAACTTATATATTTCAATTCAGCAAACACGAGAATAATCAACGAGAGACTACTAAAATTATTTTATTCTATATTAAAATAATCAATATTTTAAAATAACCCTAAGAACGTTATTAAATAAATAAAATATGTATAAATTTATACACGATTACCGTAGTCTAATACGATTAACGGTATCAAGTACACGGAACGACCTAACTACAGAAAATTAAACAAAACAAAAAAACAGTATTATACTTGGCCTTGGTTCAAGAATAACGTTCGATTATTTTTCAGTCAAATTCAATACACAACACTGTTAACATCTCTCCTGACGTGTCCGACGTGTTCCTTCTCTCAGATTTTCGACAATATTAATTTATAGAGATCTAAAATCTAATTCTCATTTACATTACATACTTGCGATGTTGGTTCATATTCTCAGGACTATAATTTATTATTGATTAATCGTAATCGATCATATTTTGTGTCATATTCGACTTCCGTGTATGGATCTATGCACATACACGTATACATTTACACGCTCATCGTACATACGTGTATACATTAATCATATTACACATACTTAATCTTATACAGGTATTATTAATACTCTAATGAATTTTTCAGCCTACATATATTCATTCTTATATTCTTTCTATACACAGACACGCATATATATATTACACATATTTAATCTTCTTCTTCAGTATTAATATTCTTGACTGTTTTAGGTCACAATTCGTCATACTCAACGAATTTCTGAAGTACAGCATACTGGACTGTGACAATCAAGTAAGATTTTTTCATATACAACTAATGTAAGAGATATATAACTTGTCGAGAAAAATTTAAATAAATTCCACTATAGAAAGATATATTAATGAACTATCAAACATTGTTATCTTACTTATTGTGTTTCAGAAGATTCTTCTTTCAATTAAATTAATATATATAATTTAATTTTTAAATCAAAATATAATCGAACGTTTAATCTTCGTTTTTTTTATATATACATAATCAAATATCATTTAGATTTGTATGAGTTTTATTATATATGAAGAGATTTACATTAACAAAAAGAAATGTTAACAAAACCACAAAGATAGTCGTTATTATATTTGAATTGACGTAAAACGTGTAGTATGATTTAATTCAAGGATAGTGATAATCGATAAAATTTACAACATCTTTTTAAAACGTGTACACATAAATAAGTTCTTTATTTATTTATATATTCATTTATATAATATAATACGCGAATACTGTTCATTTATAATGACTGGATCAAAATATCAAATCAAAATTACAGATCGAAAAAAAAAGAAAAGAAAAGAAAAGAATCCATAGAAACGTTCTATAACGATATAATATATTTCGAGACTATTAATATAAATAAATGATAATTTCTGAATGAAAATGTATGTGTATTGTATATATATACATCCCTTGTGCTCATTTAAACGCTCGGAGAAGCGTGTAACGTTTTATGTCATAATTACAGCGATACCGATCCGACCAGGAGAAAATTAGTCATCGGCATCACCTCGAGCGTTACTTCAGACTTTCACCTGAGATCGTCGAAGAAATAAGAAAGAATAAGAATAAAAAGAAAGAAGAAGAAGAAGAAGACCCAGCCAAGGAAAGAAAGAAAGAAAGAAAGAAGAAAGGAAGGAAGGAAGGAAACAAAATTTAAGCATCTTTTAAAAAACTTAACTCTTTTTTTTCCCTTATAACTTCATGCAAAGTTCATTTTAAAGAGAACATTGTCGTCATCTTGACTACGAAGAGCTCGGTGGTAGTACGACGACAACTTCGTTATCGTACAAACTTCTCTGGTCAGTATAGTGTTACTTTCGACGATTACGTCGAACGTAATACGATCATTCGTAAAAGGCGACGAGTACTATACCGCGTAATCCCCTTTATGAAACCGGCCGATATCTCAAATTTCACAAACACAGAAGTCAACGTCCAACACCACCAAAGCCTCCCCCCACTCAACCCCCTCCCACAACTTAACTCTTCGCGTTCTTCTTTGAACGTTTAATTCCTTCGAACGATATTCGAAGCGAACAGCCTCCCTTCCTTCCTTCGATCGAATTTTTGTTCTTTTTCTTTTTGTTTTCTACCCTTTCTTTTCGTTTTTTCCCCGAACCCGCCCCCTCGCCTCCTTTTCTTTCTTTCTTTTTTTTATTTCTTCTTCTTCTTCTTCTTTTGCATTGGCGAAGGCCACGTATGCGCATGTAATGCACCAGGAAGAAACATCGATATCGTAACGACACGTTCTGACTCGTCGTCGGTGAAAATACGTCGCTTCGTATTTGATTTTCTTCAACGATCTGACGATACCAATCAGGATATTTCTTTTTTTTTTTTTATTCTTCGTACTTTTCAATTATTTTTTCATTCAATTTGTTAGGCACTTCTTCTTCTTCTTCTTCTTCTTCTTCTTCTTCTTCCTCCTTTTATTTTTTTATTTATGATATAGGAATATACTTGTTATTCCTTTTGATATACCAACATTATTTTATACTATTTGCTTTTCTCTTTTATTCAATTTGCCTTTAATTTCTCTCTCTCTTTCTCATTTTTTTTTCTTTTTTTTTTTTTA